TGTGTTGAAGACTTCTACCACTTGTAAAAAAACTACATCTACCAAGCCTGAATAGTATAAAATATTTAAGACTTTAATGAAAAAAAGAAAAGCCTGACTGGTATTTACGAGCTACAATAGAGATGAAGCTGATTAGAATCTTAAAATAGAGGCCTTGTAGTATTTTATATGTTTTATATTAGTTTTAATTTACAAAATCGATTAGTAATATCTTCATAAATAATAAACAATACACTGATCATGCTAAAATCAATAACTTATTGAATCGGCAGATTAAATATTCGATTAATTTTCATATAATGTCCCAGAAATAATAGCAACAACTACAATCTTCAGTAATCATCATTTATAATTTTGTGTCCTTGCCACCTGGGCGATTTTTTTTACAGCTATTTTCATTATTCCTGAAATACCTAATAAAAATTGACTGAATGATTTTTTGTTTATCCAGCTAAATTATTGATTTTGTCGTAATTGGGTACGCATATAATTCTGTTACATACATATAAATTATATTGTAATATGTTTTCGCACAAATACACTAAACATGTTGGGCAAGTATTCAAACAAAAATTTAATATATTGACGTGTCGACATTTATAATATTAAAATCATCTCTAAAACACAATTATCATGTTTTTTATATATAGGGTAGAAATTTGTATGTAAGTTTCTGATATGTAATTTTCATATATAAATAACGTTGTCTAAAACTTTTATAGAGCTAGCGCATAAACTCTAGTAGTTCTGGCAATACTTTCGTAATGCAGATGCAATAATCATTTGTCAGTGCACTAGTTAATGCAAGAGTTATGTATAACGTACGTAAGTTATACCTGATACGTAAATTTTGTATCTATTATTATGCTGAAATCACAAACTTATATGAATTTTGGAAAATTTAGTAAAGATTGACTGATCGAATATTTGCCAATTTGATAAGTTTTTAATTTAGTAGTGAAAATTTTTTATTTGGATATAATTATTACCAAATCACAAACTTATCAAATTGGCAAATATTCGGTTAGTCAATTTTTGCTAGATTTTCCAGAATGTATAAAACAGCTGTAATTAAATCGACCAGAACATTATTTGGTCAATTTTTATCAGATATATCAGGAATTATGAAAATAGCTACAACTCACCTAGGTGGCTAATAGCCCACCTGTCAGGTAACCCACCTGAGTTCTACCCGGATAGCTGATAGTCTACTCGTCAAGTGACCCAGGTGGTATTTTTTTAGACAGGTCTAATCACTATCTTCACTACTCTTAGCTTAGGTCTTGCCAAATGGGTTTCAAATATTCCAGTTTCTTGGATTTGAATCACCCTAAAGCTTCTATTTCGAAATGGTAGGTTATTTCATGAAAATATAGTATTTTATAAAAATATAAAGAGATAATTTATACATCGCATATGTAATATTGCCATCCCTATAGAATCAGGTATAATGTAAATTAAAACAATATTTTTTTTATATGATTAGGGTTAGAGATAGATAAGGTTAGAGTCAAGGCAAAGACAGGTTTTATAGTAAAATTTTGCAAGAAATTTTTTTCATTAGAACTTGGAAGATAGTTTTATATATGATATTTTGAGTTATAGGTGATTTTTAGAAAAATGTTCATTTTGTTTTGAATTTTCCAACTGTATAATATTACACCTGATCTTGAGATTTGATCGGTTGATTATGTAAGAGCGACATATAAGATATATTATATAGAGGTGATAAATAAATGTACTATTTATAAAAAAACTAAAAATAGTATTTGTTAGTTACTTTTTTATATATTTTTATTGTAGTTTAGTTTTGTTGTTATTAACTAAAATATTATTAAAAAAGTTAGATTTTAAATTTTTTATATTGAACAATATTCTAATTTAAATTATTTTTGAATTATTTAATAGATTATAATATAATCTATTAAAATATTTAAAAATAATTTAAATTATTATTGTAGTTTTTAAGTTATTAATATATCAAATTAATAACTAACTCTTTACCCTTAGTTGATAGGTTTAACTTTTAAAAATTAGTCTATATATTTATTATAAAAATTAAAAGTTTTTGATTATACTCTAAATATTTAGAATTAATTTTAAAATATATATTTTTAATATATTAAATAAGAAATATTATATTCATAATACTGTGTTAATATAATACCCTTATGTTTACTTAGGGTTAGGGTCTAGTATTAAGATAAATAAGGATTTTTTATTATACAATATATATTAGATATAAGAGCCCAATAGGTTCTGATTTCAGTTTTTATGAAATTTTCAAAGGTGCTGAATATTTTTACTTGAGCATCTACACCCATTTATTTAGTACGTTTCTGAGATATAGTATAAGGGTATTATATAACACAGTATTATGAATATAACTTTCTATTAAATAAAGTTTATATTACACAAGTACAGTTATTATAAACTAATAATTTATCTAATAATTTTAATCTTAGTAAAAAAAATATTTTTAGTATTAAATTTTTTTGTTTTTTAAAAATATAAATTTTTAATTAACTATATACAACTCTTTCCAATGATTTTTTGATCAACAACAAAATAAACCAAACTACAGAAAAACGATATAAGAAAGTAACAAAGTAGACATCTAAATATTTCTAGTATCATACAAACATATTTGCTGTTGACGAAACTTTATATACATGAAATACTGAGAAGCAGACATATAAACAACAAGTGGGCTATGCCTTTAGGTCAAGCTTTTAGTGGATTCTTTCACACTTTCAACATCCAAACCAAAAGGATATTTTGGAAGCAATGTCATTGTAGGTCTCTGAACCGGAATACTAAGTAGAAACTGAGGAACTGGACTATACAACTGTAACTCTTACAAAAAAAACTTCACATACTTTCATTGACCTACCACTTTTTTTTGAGAATTTTTTGTAAAAGGTAGGTGTTTCAGTTTATCTCTTCAAAAGATCGATATCACATACACCAAAACAGTTGGTATTGTTTACTTTCTAAATCAGTACAACAGAACAACAAACATGTCAAGACATGTGCCTCAAATACAACAAGCTGATAAACAATACTCCGAGACTAGGATCAAGTACTGACCCTCTATATTATATAGTCAAAGAAGTATTTTTTTAAGCTTCCATATACTATTTAGATAAATTTAGAGTAGGGACTATTTTATTTAGTAGTATATAATTTTTACAAGTCATTCACAGGCTTATAATAGTGATTGTTAGAATAGACAAATTTTCTTTTTTTGTTTTTTTCGATATTTTTTACCCTTTTTCTTCTTCTTGTTTGTATCTTTTATCGTATCCTCTTTACCTCTGTTTTATTTTTTCTTTTGTATTTGTGCTTTATTAATTTGGCTCTTTTGACAAAGTGATACAGCTACTAGGGCTAAAGATTAAAGAATTCATATTCTCAAGAAGTTGAGAATTTAATATGAAGCCAATTGCTGCTAGGTAGGTTGTTCTCTGAGTTTAGCTTGAGTTGATCTTTACTTACATAGAATATAGTATAGAAAATTGTATTTTCTTGTTGATATAAATTCTGGTACTTTCAAATAAAGAGTAATAGACAGGACCACTGAATTAAAAAAAATATATATATAAATTTTAGTTTTATATTAACATAGTTATCAGAACTGACTAGTTTATTATAAATTATTTAATTACAAATTCGTTAACCAATGAGATAAAATGATCAATATTAAATAAGAAATCACGATATGTATTTAATTATATAAAAATTTATAGCTATAAATGTCAAAGCTGACTTTTATAACAATAAAATTATAAACAACTTGTCTCGTCATAGTATTTTTTTGCTTAATGTAGGCATAATATGCCCAGAACTGCACTACAGTCTATATGCCTGTGATTGGTGGTCACCTCACCTAACTAATAATGAAGATAATACTTCAGTTTCTGTTCTATATAGACTTCATATGCATATTGGATTTACACTTAATCAATGCCAGTTTTTTATTAGAGTAGTTAAAAGTAAAGAAAATATGTTGCAATCTGGATTTGTTTATATTAGTAATAATAAAATTAGTAAAGTTTGTTTGATGCTTTCTCAGGCTATTAACGCAATATATCATATAATTTTTGAAAAGAAAACTGCATATTCTGGGCCTGCACTTCTTGGATTTAATGACAAACAAATAGTAGAAAAATTACTAAATAGAATAAGATTTAGGCCTCTTTTTTTAAATATTGAAAGTTTTATCATAGTAGTATCAAAAATTGAAAATAAAAGTTTCACTTTCAATATTAACAAAAAAAGTTTGAGAACTTTAGTATTATAATGAATGACTAATGATACATTTATACTTGATTTTTATAAAGAAAATCAAGTATTGTAATATTATAAGAATAAATTTGCTAATAGTATATAGTCTCAAGTAGGTATCACCAGTAATGTACACAGAACATTTTAGAACATAGTGTTTGGACATTTTGGAACATTTTGACAAAAAATAAAGCTAATTTATTCAAAATTTTATTATAATAATTTGGTTTAATCTCCTAAGTAAAGTTGTAAAGCATTAGACAGAATATATAATTATATATTTTTTATAAAAATATTTTAAATAATTAAAGCTAAAATTAATATTTCAGATCTTAGACATTTTCAAAAAAGTAGCAGGACAGTCAAAACATATATCACTGGGTATCACAATGCATTTGAATAGTGTAACACTTTATAGTTTTAACCACCCCTTGGTTCAATATGCACAATATGCAATTCAAGAAAATTCACCAAATTCTAATCTAACTTGTACTTCACAGAAATAAAATAAGTCTCATATAATAGAAATAATATTTAATTAACAAATAAAAAAAGAAAAATTGCAACTAGCTTTTTAAATAATTGGCAAAACTTGTTTATTATCTGGATGCATCAAGATAATTTGATAATTGAATTTTATAATATACTTAGTATAATATACTCACTCACCTATCTACCAATTAAGTGAGACAGAACTTTGTACTTAGAGAGCAATGTTACAAGCTTGTAGTTGCACTAATATGATGCTATATCCTAAAACTAATAATAGAAAAGAATTTTGGAGTCAATTAAGTGATCCAATAATTGATAAAGCTAATTTGAAGATGCTATATAAACTTGAATGTTTACAAACTGATTTAGATAATTCAGAGTTTTCAGAAAAAAATCACATAATTACTAATAAAAATAAAAATAAAAATACTTTCTGGAATAGTTTTCGAAATGCTTTGATATTTAACAAACATAGCCAAAATAGAAAAATACAGATTTTGTCTATTATAGCAAATGAGTTTATATATTTGCAACTTTATGAAAAACTTCAGGTTTGTTCTTAAATTTGTAATTACAATTACTAATAAATAACTTACATTTATATAATTAGATAAGTTCAAATATAGTAAATCTAGTATGCAAACATCTTTGATTATACAGACCTGGTACTCTACCAATTGATAAACTAAAAAAAAGTTTTCAAAGAATGTCTGAAATTAAGAAAAACTAATTTTTAGCATTTTTTTAAGATAAACATAATATCACACAAAACTCTTATCTAACTGATACCAAAACCAGAATTCTTGTTTTGTATATGCAAGATTAAAAACAAGCTTTGTAGATAAAATTTAATGAGGAATATTTAAATAAAATATATCACACTTCTTTTATGAGTAGATTAGCTGATTATAATTATATCTGATATCATAAGGACTTAGAAGAACTATATATTATTTGTAACGAATATGGATTTGAAGTTTTTGAAAATTTGTTAGTACTCGCATAGCAAATATTTACAATAAAAGAAATATTGGTAAGTTATTATAAAAACAAATGAAATAATAAATAATAAAAATAAAAAAATAAAAATAAAAATAAAATAAAAAAATAATAAAATAAATAAAATAAAAAATAAAATAAAAATAAAATAAAATAAAAAATAGAATTACGAAATAAAAAATAAAATAAACAAAGTAGAATAAATAAGAATAAAAATATAACAAATAATAAAAATAAAAAATAATAAATAAATAAATAAAGAACAACTCTTCTTAACAATCACTTGTACTAAATATTTGACTAACGAAAATGAAAAACTTGTTGGAGAAAGTAGAAGAGACAACTAAAATAACGGTTTTTACAAAGGTCAAGGCTTTAAGTTGTTTTTATCTGAACTCCTCTATATATTCAGCAAGCAAGTTAAAAGTATTCTTGTACAAGATAACTGGCAGAAGGTAGTGCCTTTGTACAAAAGATTTTAATAGAAACATAGCTTCTGCTGACGAAGTTAAAGTTAGCTAGTCTAAAGAAGAACAACAAGCAAATTTTTAACGCACTCTCTATCAAAGTTTAAGGCTATTTGCAAACCGAAACTCACTACCAAGACCCCACTTTCTGTTCTTTATGAAATTTTGACAAAAAGTAGAAAATCTGGTATATTCCTATCAAAGGATTGACAACAACAATTGCTGCTAAAAAAGAAAAGTCATGTACAGAAGTATGTATCTACTTTGAGATAAAAAATGTGTTGATCAGTTTCTTTAAGAAGTTGTAGTGTTTATACCAAGATTGTTAAAAGCTGAAAAATGGTAGCATTTGTTAACTTTGCTCAGAAAACAAGCAATTGTATACAAGAATATGTTGCAGGATACCGCACTGAAAATCTGATAGGACTGCAAAAGATATTTTATATATCCTAATATAGACATAAATAACCAGTATAAAGTTTAATCTAGTTTATTTAGTAGTACTATATAATTTTTATAATCTAGCATAAGTTTAATAGTGCTATCTTTGTTTTCTTTTCTTTTATTTTGTTTTTTTTTTATATGCTATTTTGGTTTTTTTGTTTAGAAAGATTAAATTTAGATGCTGAGGTATCACCCCTTTTTTTCTTTTTTGCTCTTTGAATTTGTATTTGTATTTTGTTTTGTAAAAAGAAAAGATGATACTGATACAGCTTGTAGCACCGGCCAATGATCAAAGAATTTATGCTTCTAGTAAGTTAGAGGCCCAGAAAAAGGTAAACGACTACTAGGTGATATCACATCTGGGCTTTTAAGTCAAGTGAGTTACTATCTGCAGTTAAAGAAATAATTAGTTAAGAATTCTTGTAATTTTTGCTTAGTTAATACTTTAATAAAACAGTAGCAAGACATGTCAAAAAAAATAAATAAATAAATAAATAAAAAACAAAAGAAAGTTTGACTCATAAAGACTTATAGTATTATATAAATAAAATTCTATCATATCATAGATTAAAAACCTATGTCGACATTTTAGAAAAAATTTTGAGCATCATTTGAAAGTTGAATCTGATAAAAAAGTATTACATAACAACTGTATTGATTATTATTTGCTATTTGCTTTTGGAGAATGCTCAGATATATAGTCAAACCTCCATAAATGCAATATGTACAGACTAGCCTAAAATATGCATTTAGGGAGGTTTGCATTTAGAGAGAGCCAATCAAATTGTAGCTTTTAATATTTGATCTGCGGACTTGTGTAACAAACTTAAATACTGACTTCTGATTGGCTACGTGCACTTAAGGAGATTAGTATAATATAAAAAATCTTTTGAGTGAACATGCATTTGCAGAATAAAGAACGTGCATTTAGCACTAATGATTTCATATAGCCAAGACAAAAATGTATATTTAGAGAAGTATTGCATTTATGGAGGTTGCATTTAGTAAGGTCCGATTGTACATAATTTGCGTTATCAAGATTGTTTAAAATTTTCTACCTTTTTTGATTTCATATATTAGTGATAGTTCTCAATTATTAGAAATACAAGAAAAACTAAAATACTTTCTTGCACATTATACTAGAAAACATTATTTGAATGCACAATACAAAGCATTATTAGCAAACTTTGATTCAGATAGTACTATTATGATTGCAGATTATAAGATGCAAATTCTTCCAAAATCAGTAAGAAAAACAAAACAAGAGTTTTTTAGCAAAAAAGAATGAACATTACATACAATTTTAGTAATAACTAAAGAAAATAATAGTGTAGGTTTAAATATTAGTACTTATGATTATTGGTCTACAGATACAAAACAAGATACTTGGTTTATAGTATCTTGTTTCGAAGCTATGTTTAACAATATAAAAAAGAAACCAAAATGAATAAGAGTAATTTCAGATAATGGACCACATTACTATAATAGCAAGTTAATGGTAATTGTGGCTCATTGATTTGATTGGTATAATATTAAAATTCGTGAATGGCTATTTTTAGAACCTGGTAAGGCAAAGACAATAATCAACTTATATCATGCTGCAATAAGTTATAAAAATGAAATATAATAAATATAGAGTATACCTATTTCTATTATGAAAATTGGTTATTTCTACTCTACATAAGCATGATTTCCCTAAACGTATATTATTTTTAAATTGAAAAATAACATTTGTCAAGTAATAATTGATATATATTAAGAAATGACATATAATATTTCCATAATTTGATATAATTTATCATGACAATATACTTGTTATATTTATATAACTAAAAGTTATATAGAAAGTATAGCAGCATAGTGGAAATAGCAAATATCTATGGTGGAAATAGGTATTTCCTAAATATAATAAAATATATAATTTTGATATTATTTTTCTAAATAAGCCATGCTATCAAATAGCATATTTGTATAGAATATGATATAACAGAAGAATCTGATATTGTAGCTGCTATACACAATTTATCAAAAATATGCTTAGCAAATATTGAACCTAACCAAAATAAAAAAAAAAATAAAAGCTTAGTTGCTAAAAATAAAGAGAAAAAAAATTACATGTTGAAACTACTACAGGGATATCTAAGTACAATTCTTAGCAATAGCTAACTTATAGTATATTAGCAGAATATATTGTGATATACCTATTGCCATACTTTGGAACTTCTGTATACTTTTCTCCTGCTGAAGTTGCTGGTTTGTGTAATAATGAACTTCATCACTCTGAACCAAAAACTTCAACACATACTAAACCACAATCAAAGTGGACAATAGTTTTACCAAAATCTCAAGGTAAGAAAAATAAAAATATAATTTATATCAATATTTATATAAATTTTATATATAGAAAACCAAAACCAAACTATAATAGAAAATGATAATATGGAGATGATAGATAACAAACATAACCACAAAAATACTGTTCTTGATAGATTGTTGGTACTATTTCTGATGGTGTGAAAAAAATTGATTTTACGTACTATTCCTGATAGTGTTTTAAAAAAACCCCAAGTTAGTACTGACAATCCATCAAGATCAGTTTTTTGTAACATAATCTATATGTTATGAAAAAATTTTATTATTTGTCTAAGGGAACCAACACTTATCAGCTAATTATACCCCCCACCCCAGAATATATTAATTAATTATTCTGGGGTTCCAAAGTTAGTATTTAATAATTTTAAATTTTAATATATTCTAAAATATAAATTTATAAATATTGTATTTTTATATACTCCTTGCATA